GTCATGTGATCTGAGCCATGTGACCTGTCATGTGATCTGAGCCATGTAACCTGTCATGTGACATGTAGACCCTGGAGAAGGAGGAGGATCAGGAACGCTCAGAGGAAGAGGGAGAGGAGAAGAAGAAGCAGGATGAAGAGGAAGTCGAGGCAGTCAAGGATTACGATGAGGAAGAGTTTGAAGAGGTGAGGTGACCCCTGACCCGAGGTCATCATGATAATTGGATTCAGGGATCTGTATGGAGGTTCAGGTTCTGACCAACTCGTGTTTATCTTGCAGGAGACGGACTACATCATGTCCTACTTTGATAATGGCGAGGACTTCGGAGGAGACAGCGACGACGACATGGATGAGGCTATTTACTGACGATGAACACTTTCTTCGAAAATGGTTTTAACGTTTTATACAAACGGTTGTTTTTATTTACTAATAAACAGTGTCAGAAATAAGTGATGTTTAAATTCATTCCCAGAAGTAAAGTGGGTGTACAGCCGATGATGAATCTGTCCTGTGTGGTTCTGAAAGACGGGACTCTTTTGGACCATCAGCCTGGTTGTGATTGAGCAGGTGGACCAGTGAAAAGTAAAGGTACCTGAGGAAACCTCAATTCAATTCAATTTAGTTTATTTATATAAATGGATGGGTTTTTTCTATCAACCTTTATTTAGACGGTAAATCCCATTGAGCCTCGAGGACTCATTTACAAGAGAGACCTGATTTAACAAAAAAGATGACAACAATGGACAACAGCAACAAACAGTTATAAAAAAAGCATACTTTTTTTTAACAAACAGGTTGGCTAAAAAAAGAAAAGAAAAGTAACAAAAACAGCTAGATTCTAAGGTGAATGTAGAAACTAAAAACAGGAACATGTCAGCATTGGTCCCTGCCAGGAGTCCAACAGATTCTTAAAGACACAGAGAGGTCAAAGGTCGAGAGCTTCAGATCTTTTTACAAGATATTCCAGGAAACAGGAGCGTTACTTGGCTTACTTCTCCTTCAAGGTATTCTCTATAACACCATCACGTAGACTTTTCTAATGTTAAGGCAAAATCTTTGTGTATGTAGCAGATACATTGTTTAAATGCTGACGTGGCGCTAAGCTAGCGGTGCACAATAAAGACGCACCAGCTAAGATGCTGCAGACGTAGCGCTCTGGTTCTTCACTCAAGTGAAGTTTGCATTGAAGTTGTAAGATGATCAACTAGATGATCTAAGTCTCTGTTCTCTGATGCATTACTCTGCAAGACAGAGGAAACATTGATGGAAGAGATTGTTTCAATTTGGTTACAGCATTTTCTGATAAGCACCTGCTGAGATGAAATTTACTCTCAGTGACTGTGTAGTCATTTAATGTAAACTCAAAGTTATTAAAAAATGGTCGGACAGAATAGGATTTTGAGGAACTATTACCAAGTCCTTAATCTCTACACCATAGGTCAGAACTAAATCAAGAGTGTGATGATAAGAATGAGTAGATGTGCAGACGTTTTGGGTAAAACCAAATGAGTCTATTAAATTATTAAAGGCTATGATTAAACTATCACTCTCAACATCTACATGAATATTGAAATCAGCCATTATGATGATTTTATCAGTATTTAATAATAAGTCAGTTAATAATTCTGATAATTCAGACAAAAACTGAGAGTAAGCTCCTGGTGGACGATATATAACAACTAGTAAAAGTGGCTTTTCTGATTTCCATTTTGGATGAGAAAGACTGAGGGACAGTGATTCAAAAGAATCATAACTAATAATTGGTTTAGTATTAATCAATAATCCTGACTGAAAAATAGAAGCTCCTCCTCCACCTCGGCCAGTTGTTCTAGGAACATGAACATTTAAATAATTAACAGGAGTGGATTCATTTATACCAACAAAATCCTCCTGTTGTAGCCAAGTTTCTGTCAGACACAATAAATCAATATGATGATCAGTTATCAGTTCATTAACTACCAGGGATTTAGAGGAAACAGATCTGATGTTCAATAATCCACATTTAATGATTTTATGATTTTGCTCTGGTAAAGTAACTGTGTTTATTTTAATCACATTTTTATGGTTTATATTTTTAGAGCTGATTTTTGGTTTATTTAATTTGAGCCGTGGGCGAGTTGACACTGTTTCAATGTGGGTGTGGGTGGGTAACAGAGGAGAAGCAGCAGAGAGGGGTGGAGGACTACACCTCTGCTTCCTGGACTGGACCCTGGGTTGTCAATCATTTGGGGGATAAACAAAATCAGCCATATTTCTAGAAAGAAGAGCTTCATGTCATTTTAACCGTGATGTAAATATATCAATGATTTTAACGGAAATACGAGTGGCGTAAATTAGCAACATGAAAATCGGCAGGGATACAGCACATACTTTTCTAAGTAAAGTAAAACAGTTCTTATTCATAAACGGAATTATACCAGTACATTTTCCTTAATCTAGACTATTAATCGGCGATCCCAGTGACCCGGAAGTACTCTTTTTTGCGCATGAGCAAATGAGCAACACTACGGATCGGCATCCGTAACAGATCGGGGAATGACACCGCCACTGATCATTCCCGCTCCAAACGAGTCGTATGTCTGCAGACAAATAGGCGTTCCCAAAGGAAGGCGTATCTCAAGGGCCACACCTGATTGGACGAAGGTATCAGAAGACTTAAGCAAGTGTAACGGCAGGCAGATTGTGTTAGCCAGTTCGACATTAGCGGCATCTCTATAACTTCTCCTTCCGCCTCTCTTAACACAGAACTTCCGGTTATATTTCAAAATAAAAGCAACATAAATGGGTAGGGGGAGGGCTAAATGTTTGTGTCATTACATGAAAAACCAAAATCTGTTTTGGTTTTTGAAAATAGTTACAATAAAGAAAGAAAAATAAAGTAACCAAAATAATAATGAAACTTCAACTGTCTTTGGGACAAATGCTGTTTCCTTTAACTTCACATTTTCTTGTTCAACTCTTAAATCAGTCGCTGCAGATGAGTGATGTCAGGTTCTGCACCTGGAGCAGGTATTCTGTTTACTGCTTCACCTCCTCAGCTGTCTCAGGTGTGAAGGCTCAGTCCTTCTCCATGTTCCAGCTCCTCTCATGGATCACATCTCATAGAAGAACTTCTAGAGAGAACAGTTTGTTTTGGGCCGTATCTCGTTACAGGACTCCTGATCTTTAATGGAGACCAGACTTTTAGACAAAAGGAGCAGGTTTCTCTTCAGATGCTTCAGATTTCATTGTACCCAGACCAGACTCACCTGTGTCAGGTGCAGCTACAACCAAGAACTGAAGAGAATCTTCTTGTGTTTGACAGTAATACTGGTTCTTAGAAGCCTTCAGTTATAAAAAAGACCTGACGTAACTTACCTAAAGAGCAGCAGATACAGCTCAGTGTTTGTTCTCCAGAAACACCTGTTCTTCTGAAACAACCACTTTTGGTCTGCAGAGAGCCTCTTCTCCCTCCAAACAGTGTACTGTCAAACAGCGGACCTGCAGCGCACTCTGAGCGGATCTGCACATCGTACGCGCTTTTTTTAAACCATTCTTCGGTTACAGAGTCATTCAGAAGCACCCTCTAAGCGGTTCTGTACATGCGCTCTTTTTAAACCATTTTTCGATTCGGCGTTGGATAGAAAACTGGTTTAAGTTGCAGATGTGTTGACAGAACCAGAAGAGAGGAGGACACGATTTATAACAATTTATTACCAGCTGAATGGTTAAAAATTTGAAATTGAGAACGAAAAGAGAATCAGAATAAGCTTTATTATCATTGCACCGAGATACAACAAGAGTATGTCCATACAGGCGTCCAAAAGATGGGCGGAGTGCACGAAGCTGCTGCTCTTTAAGAGCACGGCCTCTTATCCTTTTCAGAATACTTTTAGGCTTAGATGAGAAAAGGGGAAGAAAACATGAAGAGAGAAGTTATTAAAAAAGATCTCTCACGCCGTGTTCCAGACAGGGCATGGTTTGAGGCATAAAAAAAACTACCACAGCAAAGCAACATAAACGGACGTTATACACATGGGGCCAGTGAAGGCATTGAGTTTTAAGGGACAGTCGTAGCATAGTCCAGGAAGATCACAGTCCTGATAAAAGCTGCTCCAGCTCTGATGCAGCTCCACATAATTCAGTCTGAGTGCTGCCAAGCTTTGACACATCCACACACTTTTGTAGACAATCCAGATTTCACCAACCCAAACAGCAGAATCCAGTTGTCATCATGAATCTAATTTTGTTTCTGTCGAGGTAAGAGAGTCCTCCTTACCCTGACTTCCTGTTAAGAGAAGTTGATCAATTTCATTGAGAGACCAGCTGATCAGATCCATCGAATTCGGAAGATATGCAGAAAAAAAGAGGCTCTTTAAGGGTTCATAAGTGGGCAACTGGGTAATAGACTTCTTAACAAACAGATCTCAGTCTGAGGTGTACCACAAACCCACCCACACAGAACAGTATTTGCAGTTTGACTCCCATCACCCTTTGGAGCACAAGTTAAGAGTCATCAGGACTCTGTACCACAGAGCAGACAGCGTCCCCACTAGCTCAGGAGCCAGGCAGAAGGAGAAATCCTAAACAAGACAGGCTCTAGAGCAATGTGGATATCCTAACTGGGCCTTCCTGAAAGCAGAAACCAAAACAGGACTCCAGTCAGCCATCAGGTGAAAAGGAGGAACCCAGACCCAGACCAGTGGTCATTCCGTATGTTGAGGGAGAAACTGAGACATTTATTTTCTAAACACAACGTCCCAAAGGCTTTTAAACCCCAAAATACATTAAAGACTGGTTCATCCCAAAGATCCAGTCCCCCGGCACAAACAGAGTAATGTTGTGTATGCTGTTCAGTGTCAGGAGGGTGATCAGTCTTACATCGGGGAAACAAAACAGCCACTGGCCAAAAGGATGGCCCAGCACAGAAGATCATCAACATCAGGCCAGGACTCTGAGGTCTACACTCATCTCCAGGCCAGAGGTCACTCTTTCAGGGATGGATGTTCACATCCTGGACAGAGAGGAACGATGGTTTGAGAGAGGAGTAAAGGAGGCCATCTTTGTGAAAAGAAATCGTCCATCATTAAACAGGGGTGGAGCCTCCAGGTTCAACTGTCCCCCTCTTACAATGCTGTTATTGCTAGTATCACTAAACCCCCTGTGAATAGTAAACAGCCATCAGGTGCTAATGATCCATTGTTAGGCTAATGGTCCTTCTTGATCATGTGAGCAGCTGGTTTTGGTTGTCAGCAGCAAACTGGTTGATCCACTCTGAGAAGGTGCTATTTATAAGATTGAGCTGAATACAGCACCTCAGACTGAGGAAGTCTTTCGGATGAAAGACGAAACCCATGCATACATCCATCCATTTTCTTCCACTTATCCGTGGTCGGGTCGCGGTGGTAGCAGCCTAAGTAGGGAGGCCCAGACTTCCCTCTCCCCAGCCACTTGGTCCAGCTCCTCCGGGGGAATCCCGAGGTGTTCCCAGACCAGCCGAGAAACATAGACCCTCCAGCGTGTCCTGGGTCTTCCTCTGGGTCTCCTCCTGGTGGGACATGTCTGGAACATCTCACCAGGGGGGTGTCCAGGAGGCATCCTAACCAGATGCCCGAGCCACCTCAACTGGCTCCTCTCGATGTGGAGAAGCAGCGGCTCTACTCTGAGTCCCTCCCAGATGATCGAGCTTCTCACCCTATCTCTAAGGGAGAGCCCAGACACCCTGCAGGAAAAACTCATTTCGACCGCTGGTATTCGAGATCTCGTTCTTTCGGTCACAACCCAAAGCTCATGACCATAGATGAGGGTAGGAACGTAGATCGATTGGTAAATTGAGAGCTTCGCCTTTTGACTCCACTCTCTCTTCACCACGATAGACCTGTACAGCGCCCGCTTCACTGCAGATGCTGCACCTATCCGCCTATCGATCTCACGTTCCATTTTTCCCTCATTCGTGAACAAGACCCCAAGATACTTGAACTCCTCCCCTTGGAGCAGGACCTCCTCCCTGACCCAGAGAGGGCACTCTACCCTTTTACAGCTCAAGACCATGGCCTCGGATTTGGAGGAACTGATCTTCATCCCGGCCATGTTGCACTCGGCTGCGAACCGCTCCAGCGAAAGCTGTAGATCATGATCTGATTAAGTCAACAGGACCACATCATCTGCAAAAAGCAGAGAAGCAATCCTAAGGCCACCAAAATGGATCCCCTCAACACCTTGGCTGCGCCTAGGAATTCTGTCCATAAAAGTTATGAACAGGATCGGTGAAAAAGGGCAACCTTGGCAGAGTCCAACTCTCACTGGGATCAAGCCCGACTTACTGCCGGCAATGCGGACCAGGCTCTGACACTGGTCATACAGGGACCTAACAGCTCGTATCAAAGGGCCCGGTACCCCATACTCCCAGAGTACCCCCACAGGGTTCCCCGAGGGACGCGGTCGAACACCTTCTCCAAGTCCACAAAGCACATGTAGACCGGTTGGGCAAACTCCCACACACCCTCCAGAAACCTGCTGAGGGTGTAGAGCTGGTCCAGTGTTCCACGACCAGGACAAAAACTGCATTGCTCCTCCTGAATCCGAGGTTCGACTATACGACGGACCCTCCTCTCCAGAACCCCCGAATAGACCTTACCAGGGAGGCTTAAGAGCATGATCCCCTTGTAGTTGGAACACACTCTACGGCCCCCCTTTTTGAATAGGGGGACCACCACCCCGGTCTTCCAATCCAGGGGAACTTCCCCCGATGTCCACGCAATATTGCAGAGTCGCGTAAGCCAACACAACCCTACAACATCCAGAGCCTTAAGGAACTCCAGGCGAATCTCATCCACCCCTGGGGCCCTGTCACCGAGGAGCTTTTTAACCACCTCGGTGACCTCAGCACCAGAGATTGGAGGGCCAGACCCAGAGTCCCCAGGCTCCGCTTCCTCAGTGGAAGACATGCCGGTGGGACTGAGGAGGTCTTCAAAGTATTCCGCCCACAGACCCACGACATCCTGAGTTGAGGTCAGCAGCACACCACCTCCACTATAAACAGTTTTGGTGTGTACCACTTTCCCCCCCGAGATGCCGGATGGTGGACCAGAATCGCCTCGAAGCCGTGCACAAGTCATTCTCCATGGCCTCTCCGAACTCCTCCCATGCCCGAGTTTTTGCCTCAGAGACCACCCGAGCCACATGTCGCTTGGACTGCCGGTACCCATCAGCTGCTTCCGGGGTCCCACGGGCCACCAGGCGCCCGGCCACCAGGCGCCCGCCTGCGTGCCCCACCTCCAGGCCTGGCTCCAGAGTGGGGCCCCGGTGACCCACGTCCGGGCGAGGGAACATCAAGTCCATTTCTTTTACTCATCATAGGGGTGTTTGAAAGACGAAACCTTTCTACATTTTTTTTTTGTTTTGTTTGTTTTTTTGTTGAATGTCCAGAGGACCAGATTTAACTTTTTTAGAAAACTAAAAACAGGAACATCTGCAGGAACTTAAAAGATGTTTGAAGCCACTTAGAGAGGTCAAGGTCGAGAGCTTCAGACCTTTTAACAAGATATTCCAGGAAACAGGAGCAGAGTAGGAGAAGGTAGTAGGAAATGAAGTAGTAGATCTCACACCAGTGAGTTAGGTCATACATCAGATAAGTGAAACAGGCATCGGTCCACAGATCAGTGAGACAGGCGTTGGTTCTCAGATTAGTGACACAAGTGCCAGTCCTCAGATCAGTGAAACAGGTGTCGTCCTCAGGTCATTGAGACAGTTGTTGGTCCTCAGATCTGTGATACAGGTCAGTCATCAGGTCAGTAACACATGTACCAGTCCTCTGATCTTTGAGACAGGTGTTGGTTCTCAGATCAGTGAGACAAGTGGCGTTCCTCACATCAGTGAGACAGGTAAGTCATCAGATCAGTGAGACAAGTGCCAGTCCTCAGATCAGTGAAACAGGTGTCGATCCTCTGATCAGTGAGACAGGTGTTGGTTCTCAGATCAGTCAGACAGGCGTCAGCTCTCAGATCAGTGAGACAGTTGTTGGTCCTCAGGTCATTGAGACAGTTGTTGGTCTTCAGATCTGTGAGACAGGTCAGTAACACATGTACCAGTCCTCTGATCATTGAGACAAGTGGCATTCCTCACATCAGTGAGACAGGTAAGTCATCAGATCAGTGAGACGAGTGCTAGTCCTCAGACCAGTGAAACAGGTGTCGGTCCTCTGATCAGTGAGACAGTTGTTGGTTCTTAAATCAGTGACATAAGTGTCAGTCCACATATCAGTGAGACAAGTGTCAGTCATCAGGTCAGTAACACATGTACCTGACTTCAGATCAGTGATACAGGTGTCATTCAACCTGTATTTCTACAGGTTAGTCCCATTGAGTCTCGAGGACTCATTTACAAGAGACCTGATTTTAACAAAGAATGATGACAACAGTGGACAATCATAAAATAGACAAATTTAAGTTTCTCCATCCATCCATCATCTTCCTCTTGTTCTGGACTCAGGTCTCAGGGCAGCATCTTGAGCAGGGAGGTCCAGACATCTCTTTCCACAGCCTCTTCCAGCTCTTCTGGGAGGACTCCAAGATGTTCCCAGACCAACAGAGAGACAGTCTCTCCATTTTTTTTTTTTTTTTTTTTACAAATCAAAACAATAAAAACAAAATAGCAACCAAAAGTACAATCAAGAGGAATAGTAACAAAAAACAGCTACATTATAAGGCGGTGTAGAAAAGTAAAAACAGGAACATGTGTGTGTTGGTCTTCACCAGGAACTTAACCGATGTTTGAAGCCACTTAGAGAGGTCAAGGTCGAGAGCTTCAGATCTTTTTACAAGATATTCCAGTCAGTCCTCAGATCAGTGAGACAGGTGTCACTCTTTAGATCAGTGAGATAAGTGTTGGGCCTCAGATCAGTAAGATGTGCCTGTCTTCAGATCAGTGAGACAGGTGTCTTTCAGAGAGAACACAAGGTTCTTCAATGTTTCTGAGCACGACAAGAATCTGGTCAGAAAACTGACCCTGGAACTGACCCATTCCTTTAACCATTTGAGTCCTGATACAAAGATTGCAGAATAAATAAATAAAGTCTGTTTGTCCAAACATGCAGAGGTCAAAAGTGATGTCATCAGCCTGTGGATGACATCATTAGACCTCTGCAGTTCATCCAGCCTGATGGACTGTCATCGGTTCAACTTCTCATCGTACCTGCCAGAGAAGGACAGAGAGACATGAGACAGAACATCCTGCAGTAGAACCAATGGAGGTTCTGCGTAGAGCTCTTACTGGCGTATGGCCTCTGGGATCTGCAGTCTGTCTGTGGGGACGATCTGCGCGAGCTGCTGAAGACTCCCAATGAAGCGAATCTTCCTGCTGAACTTGTCGCTGTGGAGGTCAGGTGAGATGAGGTCAGAAGTCACACTCAGACTTCTAAACATCACATTTGCAACCCCCCAACTGCACAGGTAAGCTTCAGATGAGTGAGTCATTGTATTGTAAAAACCACAGCAGTACAGTCACACAGTTACAGGTTTAAACATGGCTGTACACTTTGTATGTGTGTGAGCTGCAGACCTGATAAAGGGTTTAACAAGTGTGATCAGAGCTTTGATGTACCAGGCAGGATGGGCCACTAGCAGTCCCTTCAGGTCCTTCTTCAACCTAGACGGAAAGGACACCGATTTCACCTATGTTGCCATAGAAACGGGGTGTATTCTGAACCTGCATATCTAAGGAGGGATAGAAACCATAGTACCTCCTCTCTATGGAGGTGTAGCACTGATGGAGCCATTTGATGGATGGCAGTTTGTTCCTGGGAGCCAGTGCACACAGGTAGACCAGAACATAGTTCTCAGAAACCATCAGGTCCAATGTTCCAACTATGTACCTAAAGACACAGAGGTGGATGCCTTGAAACACCTGAGTCTAGGTGGGTTTCTACATCTGTCTACAAAAGTTTGTTCAGGTAACTCACCTAAACAGGTTCTCCATGACATACTCGTAGTTCTCCACTGTGTTCTCTGGAAGGTAGCAGGAAGTGAACAGGATGATGGCATTCATCCCATCTCCATAGTAACCTGAGAGCCAATCACATGCAGAGGTATTACAGTTGGACATAATAGCAAACACAGTGAGACGGAGAACACACTTGAGGTCTGACTGCGTGCGTACAGTTGTGTAACAGGTGTGTTAAGTCTGTTACAGGTGTGTCACACTTGTGTTACAGATATATTTCAGGTGTCTTACTGATGTGTTGAAGGTGTGTTACACGTATTTAAGATGTGAGGTACAATTTAATACCAATTCAATTAATTTTATTTCTGTAGCTCCAAGTCCCAACAGACATTGTCTCAGGGCACTGAACAGAAACTTCTCATACCTTGTAAAAAATTAGTAAAAGTTCTCTATATAAGAAAGCATCAGATTGTGTTGAATCTTCACTTCATCACAGTCTCCCGTCCTGAGCAAGAACAAATGAGACAGTGGAAAGAAAAAACTCCCTTTTAATAGGAAGAAACCTCCAGAAGAACCAGGTTCAGGACTAGTGGCCATCTGCTTCTCTACATTGGCTGTAGAATAGAAAACAAACGTCTCAGTTTCTCTGATACTCCCTCAACATATGGAATGACCACTGGTCTGGGTCTGGGTTCCTCCTTTTCACCTGATGGCTGACTGGAGTCCTGTTTGGGTCTCTTCTTTCAGGAAGGCCCAGTTAGGATATCCACATTGCTCTAGAGCCTGTCTTGTGTAGGATTTCTCCTTCTGCCTGGCTCCTGAGCTCGTGGGGACGCTGTCTGCTCTGTGGTACAGAGTCCTGATGACTCCTAACTTGTGCTCCAAAGGGTGATGGGAGTCAAACTGCAAATACTGGTCTGTGTGGGTGGGTTTACGGTAGAGCATGACATTTTTCAGGAGTACCGCGGGTCACGTGATTCCGGATGGATTCTGGTGGGACCGGAGTCAACCTCATTATAACTCATGTGACCGGGACGGGACCGGACTGAAAGCTAACGGGAGCAGACAGGAGCGAGAACCGACCAATAACCAAAAATGAAAACGAAACAAAACAAAAAAAAACACGGGTGCAGCTATTTTGTAGTTTTCTTTCAGTAAGCCTTCACTTTAACACAAGTCAAAAGAACTACATTGCTCACAAGTCATCTGTTCGAGCCGTAGCTTTTCACCGAGAGGGGGGGAGGAGCAGCGAAGCGGTACAGAGTAACTGAAAACAGTTTACAACGAAAGGTAAGAAGTAACTGTCTGTCTATTAAACTCATAGAACGAGCAGGAAAGTGTCAAATAACCTGAACTTCATGAGAGTTGTGTTGGTGCTGTGCTGCTTTAAACTTTAGTCTCAGCTGTGAGGAGCTGCGGGGAGTCGGACTTTGTTTACCTTCAGTAAATAAATGTCCCAAACAGCGCATTTTTCGCCACCTTGTCCCTTTTAATTTAAAAATTATGCTCTGTTTTGTTATGTGGGTTTTTAGGTTAAAATCTTCATTATCTGTTGCTGTTTGTAATGTAAAAAAACAACCGAAATCTTCCTGGTTAAAGTACATGCATTCTCCGTTAAAAATATCCCTATTTTTATATTGTGACGTCCTGCTGGATACTGGAATGGAGGAAAACGTGAATAACCATCACTTTATTGTGTAGATAGAGAGAGATAGATAGAGATAGAGATAGAGATAGAGAGAGAGAGAGAGAGACAGAGAGAGACAGAGAGAGACAGAGAGAGAGAGAGAGAGAGAGAGAGAGAGAGAGAGAGAGAGAGAGAGAGAGAGAGAGAGAGAGAGAGAGAGAGAATGGTTGTTTGTCTCGTTTGTCTCTATGTGTCCCTGTGATGGACTTGCGACCCGTCCAGGGTGTACCCCGCCCCTCACACAGTGACTGCTGGACATGGGCACCAGCGACCCCCGTGACCCAAAATGGAAGAAGAGGGTAAAGAAAATGGATGGATGGATGGATAGTTACTGTCGGCTGTAACCATGTCCGTACAACAACAAACTCATTAGTGAAATCATTCTCCGGTTAAAATATACCAGTTTTTATATGAAAGACTGGTTGCATACATTATAGGGCATTAACAGAGTACTCGAGTAATCTACACATCGATTGCTAGGACATCTATCGAGGTTAAAAATGTAACGTCGAGTGTCCGTAGTGACGTCATATTATGTGACCACCGTATGACCGTAGGGGGCGGTGTTGCACTGTTGCAGGTCACAGAGTATGGTGTAACACCGGGTCCAATCCACAGAACCAGAACCAGTTTCCTCTGAACCTTGTTTCACAAACAAAAAGCAAAAAATATTAATCTTTAAACCTATAAAAAAATCTATAAACATATTAATCTCTAAAACTAAACTTAATGCCCCACAGCTGGCGGTGGTGCGGGGTGGTCGACCCCCCCCAACATTAAGTTTGGTTTCTGACGTGCTGCATGTTTCTTCACGTTTGCAGTTTAATAATAAAAACTAATAGTTTAGTTTTTCCTGTGACTTATTTGCAGTATGATAAATGGGAGGAGCATAATATACACTCCCAATGTTTTGTTGGTCTTTTTTTGTAAATAATGACCTTTTTTGTGGTTTTATTTATTTATTTATTTTTGTATCTTGAGATCTATGACGTCATCAAATACTCGAGTTCTATTCGGGTTTTATTATGTTAATGTCGAGTTTAAAAATTATATACTCGTTCAACCCCTAATACATTATAATAATTGTTTTAGTTTTAGATTTAAGATATGACGTGTACAATTATGTTGTGTTAAATTTTAGGCCAAGAGTTGATTTTTCTCAGTTCATTTCTTCACACCAGGGGCGATTCTAGAAGCCCTTTTTAGGGGCCCTTAGCCCCCCCAGTGTTGACAATGGCTCTTGGCTTGAACCACACAGTGTGTATTATCATTAGAATTATTGTAGGGGGGACATATCGGTGCGAGGTCTGTGGGTCCTCCCCATAACTTTTTAAATAAAGCAGCAGCTATTTACTGCATTCTGGTGTATTTTAACAGGTTTTAAAACATCTATGTTTACCTACATAAGTAAATACTTGATTCAATAACTGTTTTATAAAGCATGGCACAAGAAGTAGCACTAAGCTTTTTGTTTGTCTTTAATTTAATTTTATTTTTCTACCTAACACAGGAAGCTGTTAGCTCTGGAAGCAAGCTGTTAAACAGCTTTGGACACAAAGACCCTTGTCACACACTTCAACAGAGCAGGTAAGATACAGAACATCTTGTAATCTCTGCCTGGTGAGGCTGTTTAAATAATTATAAAATATGATAAGTGAAATAAATAAACATTGAGCTTCTGTAATTTATAATTACAAATGTCACTTTTTTTTTTTACTTTATTTCACTTGTAAATCTCTTGTTTTTGATAAAATATTTTTTCCAAAAGAAAGGCCAACAGATTGTAACTTGTAGTCACTGTGACCGTATTTTGACTCGTGCACGTCTTCTGTCACTTTTAGGTTCCACAAGGCTCTGGACTGGTCCAGCTGTGGAGAGATGAGGTGGAACACCAGACCTGCAATGGTCCAGTCTGTAAATGATGCTCTGAAGTCTGGGAAGATGCACGACATCATGCTTCACCCAAACGAGCTCGTTACCTCGACCACACACACTGAACTTCTGGAGGACGTCGTCCAATGTAGAATAATGCCTTTAAACATTTTTATTTGTTGAGTTCTCTGCTTGGTACATTATTTTTCTTTGTTAGTTTGTTTAAACAATTTAAAATATGACAGTGATGTCACTGTTTAAAGGAAACAATTGCTCAATAAATTAGTAAAATGCCACTTGTTGTGTTTGGGTTCTCTCATCTAAGGTAGACATGGTGTGACCCATGGACTGGTTTAGATTTTTTGTTTTTACTGGAACTGACCTTCAAAAGAGCCAGAAACAGACTCATCAGCTGATCCTCCGTAGAAACATTATATGGACTACAGGCCATGGATTATTTGTTTTATGACATTTAGAGAAGGTTTTTGTTTGGATTCAGGAAATAAATGTCTCTATTTCACCACAGATGAACTGTTCCTGTTGCCATATCTTTTGAAATAAAACTGCACAACACAAAGTAATTTAAACAGGAATGGGTAGAAGATCAAATCAAATTCAATGTATTTACTAAAAATTAAATGAAAAACAGGAGCAGGACAGGAGTGGGAGTCATGTTACCAGGAGTGGGACAGGACAGGATTATTTTTTTTTACTCTGGACCAGGACTGGGACAGGACAGGATTTTTTTCTGTGGGACCAGGACAGGACAGGAGTGAAAATCCACTCCTGTGTCGTCCTCTAGTTTGTGGTACACCTCAGTTTGCAAATGTCCTCTATCAGAGACTGAGACCTCACAGTCCAAGAAAGCCAACCTGCCATTTTTTACATCTTCTCGTGTGAACTTGATGTATTTATCCACAGAGTTGATGTGGTCAGTAAAATGTTGGACTTCCTGAGATTTAATTTTAACCCAGGTGTCGTCAACATACCTGAACCAATGACTTGGTGGTGTCCCTGAAAAGGACGTCAAGGCTCTCTTTTCTGTGGGGATTCTAGTTTATTTAGTTACAGGTTTACTTTCAGTTTCCTGAGTGGCAGGAGGGAACTGATTACAACCAGCTGTTACCACTTTCTTGATGAGAAGACTCTAGTACTTAAGGCCCTGGGAGTAAAATGTGAGACCACTGGTCTTAACTTCATGGACAACTTCTCCAAAACAAGGAACAAAACACACACTTCCGGCGAGCTGATGGACGGCAGCTCCCTCCGGCTTCTCTGCAGTCTTTTATCATCAAACTGACCCGTTTTTTCGAACCGGACTAAAGTTGGTTCCCTTTCCAACCAAATTCGGTGTTCAGTGACTCAGAGAGCCGGATGGGACCGTCCAAAAATGTATTTTAGTCTAGGACCGGCCGCTCCCACCCCACTGGTCACTCTGAGCGCACCCTGCCGGCCAGGTGACCCTCGAGATGGGGAGTCGTCGCACGAAGGTCCGGTGTTTATTCTCTCTCTCTCTGGATCCCAACGAACTTCTCAACTGGACCTTTGTGGTTCTTCCTGGTT